CTATATGCCTCTCACTGAAATGACTATTTACCAGTCAATGTTCTCTTTTAGTGTTACTAATTATTAAACCCTTCATTTTTTCTCCCTGCAAGAATGGCAATTCCCACTCTCCTTGTGTAATGTTAACAAAGCCCTTCTGTGGACAGTCTTCACCTTACTTATTTTGCTAACTAAATAAACATTCTATCACAAAGCAGCACTTTCTGATTCTGTATCAGAATGGGCATGACTAAAAAAAAGAAAAAAAAAGAAAAAGAGAGTAAAACTTCACTTTAAAAAAAGGGGAAAAAAAAGGAAAGAAAGAAAACCTGTTCTAAGTTTTTTGGGGTCATGGAGTTGGTTAGTATTTTAAAGTAGTGTTGAAGACCATAGAAGGAAAAAAAAATAAGAAATTTCAATTAAAAAGTCTGTTATCCTAATATTAAAAACAATTTCAAAACTTTGTTTCAGGAAAACCACTAATATTATATTCATTCTTTCATTTTTAGACCTTTTGGTGTTAGTTTAAAAATATTTCTAATTCAGAGACGCCTGGGTGGCTCAGTGGGTTGGGCCTCTGCCTTCAGCTTAGGCCATGATCTCAGGGTCCTGGGATCGAATCCAGCATCGGGCTCTCTGCTTGGCGGGGAGCCTGTTTCCTCCTCTCTCTCTCTGCCTGCCTCTCTGCCTACTTGTGATCTCTCTCTCTATCAAATAAATAAATAAATAAATAAAATCTTAAAAAAAAAAAAAGTCTAATTCAAGTTTTTCCTTCCCTGCCAACTCTCTTTCATGTGTTTGGTAAAGAAAAACAATCACAATAGTATTTTTCAGCCTATCCTAAACTGTTACTCTAGCTCACCCCTTCTCTCAAATTATGAAGAATGTGAATAATCAATAAAATTAAACATCTCAACTAGACTATTTAGTAGTTGCTTCTTAACATGCTGCTCACAACTATTTATCTTCAATACATAATTTTTTCCGGACATAGTCTATAGAACCAACATACCCTGTATTCTCCTTTTGTGCTTCAGTATCAGTAATCTGTCTTAACTGCTTTTATAATATCATCATTGCTATTACTAACACTGATTTTAATATAGGAAACTACAATAAAGATCCCCCATAATTCAGTGACCTTGAGAATATCACTGTTAACAGCTTATTATGCATGTTTACTTTTCTCTGGTTGGCTTATAAGCTACATGGGTTTGTGTGATGAACTGTTTTTTAACTTGTTTTGGCCTACAGAATAAATAAATTCAGAGTATTCAGTGAATAAATTGATGAAATTTACTAAAGACATTCACAGATGGGTTAAAAAATCAAATCTAAACGGAATGGAAATCATACTTTTATTTCTAACAACTGCAGCCTTTACATTTTTTCAATTTTTACATGAAAACTTTGAGTTTGGAAAAAGAGATGCCAAGCATAATAATAATCATTGTAAGAACAGGATTATGTGACTAGGATTATGGGAAAAAAACATACAAGGACAACTGAAAATACACATGGCTCTACTTCAGTTCTCAATTAGATGTGTACTCATCAGGCAGATTGGATTAAACAATGAAGTCCCTGTTTGGAAAGCAAAATTAGCTGTTTCTCATTAAAAAGCTGTCTACAACTCTTATGATACATTTAAAATATTTCTGGCTTACATGATGGTGTTATTTTTAAAATTTTGTATAGCAAAGACAGAAAACACCTATATCTGCAAACATGTTTCCATTTATATAAACTCAATCTAAAGGACTGTCCCTTAGCTATAAATGGCTGACACTACAAACACCTCTTCTCACCACTGCTAGATATTTCCCTACCATTTCCTCTTGATAACTACTTAAGATAACAGCACTGCTGAGAACACTGACCATTATCTCCAATTCTTACTTTATACAAATTGGCAAAGGATCTCTAAGTGGTGACAGAGAACAGGCAGTAAATGGAGTAAAGAGGGACAAAAGTGGGAAAAAAAAAAAAAAAAAAAAGTGCACTAAATCCACCAGCTAATCTTTACCATTCTACCCACTACCACCAACCCCAAGCCTGCTCATCCCCATCAACAAGCATGAGGTGGGCAACAAGCATCAGTTGAGAAATTTTTTCTACCACAGCAGGAAAATCTTATTTTTATTGTTATTCCTGATTCATTTTTAATTTCAGTACCAGATATAGGGGAAGGGAAAACTACATTATCTAACTGTACACTTGTTATCCAATGCTCACTCCTGCCATTTCTCACCCAAAAACCCATACTTCATATAGTCCCAACTCAGCTCATCATACCTATCCCATGGATTACTCCTTTCTCATCAATTTACATCATTTTACCTAACACAAATTCCTGCTTCCCATTTTCCTCCTATTTCACCAACATGTGGAGTTACCATTAGGTGTGCAATTGGGAGGAAAAAATTATTTCCATAAAATATGTACAGTACTAATGATGAACTATCCAAACTTCAAGCAAGTTGTGTCAATATTTTTGGGATTTGGCTCACTCATGTGTAAAAGGAATGCATTCCAAAGATTGGCTGACAAATTTCCAGGCCCCATTGACAAGGATTCTGAAACTATATACTAAAGGTAGAAGACAAGAATTTTCTAAATGGCACACAGATGATCAGTCATATTTGGGAATCAATGATAAATGCTAAGGTTCCTTCTAGTCTAACATTCCAAGATTCTAAGCTGGAATTTTCACTGCATTTTCTAATAGAAATATTGTTACAAAAGGTGTGTAGTTTGTATCATTGATGGTCTTACAGTTACTGTTTAAATAGGCCTGTATAACCTGACCTAGCACCTAAGCTCCACTTACATCATTATTTTATGACCACTGGTGACTTGCAAATGAACTTGTATGTTTGCACACTGTGGACCACCAGTATTATAATACTAAAACCTCAAAGGAAAACACTAAAAAATTATTTTCTTGGGATTATGTGCATAATTAGACTTTTCCACAGATGGCCTTTTCACAGATTTCTGTCCAATCTGACATTATTACATGTCAGAAATAAAAGCAGGAAGTGCATGCTCATTAGGATCTCTTACTTTGCTAGTTCACTGGTAGGGCTTTGTGTATCACTGGAATAAAGCCTAAAGAAATCTAGATCATTGATAGAATTCAGGGCATTAAAATGCCTAAAGAACAGTCTCACTCAAATGTTTACAGACTGCCAGGACTTGACCTGCTCAGAAGCACACTAGATCATTCATTTATGAACCATATGTAGCTCTTCTAGCTCTGGTAACTTCCAATGACCAATTCTCATTATAAACAAAAGTTCCCTTGGTTAATATTCAAGTTTAAAGACATGTTTCAACATGTGGAAACTAATCAAGTATAAACAGCACTTGAACATACGATGACACATTAGTAGTGTGTTGATTTAAGTGGAACCTCTTCTTTTACAAATAAATTAATAATATTATAAAAAGGTAGAAATGGAAACAATTATATGCTAGTCAGCTTTTTCTTTAAAAAGATGTACTTGCTTAGAGCTGTACAAAATAGCATGATAAATTGTGTATTTATTTCATTTCTCCAGTGGATTTCTCCAATCTACAGTGAATGCCATTATGTAAGTGCATTCTTTGAATATCAAGAATGATGCAATGGTTGTCATGACAACTACTCATTTTATTGAATAAATTGTGGGTTGGGGGTTAAAGTGTTCTTTTAAAAAACACTTGTCAACATCTTAACTATGCCTGATAAGTCTCTTTCTATTGTCACCTATTAAACAATAACTATAAGCCATCTTTGAGGATGACTATTTAAACAGCTATTTAAAAAGCTAGGCTTGAGTTGCCAAGGGAGGAAAACTTTGAATTAAGTTTGAGAAAGGAAACACATCAACTACATTCAAAGGAACAAAAGATGCTTCTTTTTAATCTTCTAGAGTTATTGAAAAGTGTTTGTAAATCAAAAGTAACATGGTGTTACATGTTATTGTAACATATTTTGCGTCTAATCCTAAATTTAACTCACTATAAAACTAACACTAGAAGACTGCTGACTTTCAGTTTGCAATTAAGCTAAAGTGAGAGCAAGTAGAAGGCTATCCCTCATTTTGATACTCAAGAAACTTCTCCTGAGTGTGTAAAAAACTGGGAATTTCCAATGTCAAGTGACCTACAAAACAGCTCTGTTAAGAAGCCTATATTTAAAAACACCGAGGATAACTGCAGACCCCAACTATAAACGCTCCTCTAAAGGCTTCTTCCTTCGCTTCAGATCTTCCATAGGACAGGTTCCCAGCTTCACCGGCATCTGTGTCCCTAGGAGGCTCGGTGGTTACACAGACTATTCAAAGCTAAACAATATTTTGAGAACCTGCCCCAGATCTTTTCCTTCCTCACCGAAATCAAGGTTTTGGAGAATGGCGGATGGGGGTTATGAATGGCGCCCCTCCCCCCTCTAACAAGGTGAGGTCCAGTCAGCTAGAAGGCCTGCTGACTTCGCAGCCCTGGAAACCAATGCGAGGAAGCTCCAGCACTGCCTGGCTAAACCCACAGGCAAGGGGGGTCTGTCGGGGCAGCAAATCAAGAAGCCTGGTCAAGCGCAGGGAGAGAGTGGCAACTCACGCTTCCTTCGATCTTTCCCAAATGGCTTTTACCTGCCTTCGTGTTTTACCTTCACCTTTCTCGCGTTGAGCGACCTCCACCTCTTCTGGGAGGGCGCGTGTGTTTGTGTGTGTAGTGACAACAATCTTAGCACCCCGACTGGGGACAGGGGATTGGAAGGGGTGGGGACTCAGTTCCTCCACAGCCCTGGAACTCTCCTGAAGGGCCCTCGAAGAAAAAGGGGCGGGAGGAGCGCGTCTGACGCCGACTGAGGACTCGACCAAGAAGGGGGCGTCCGGGCCTGGGAGAGCGGCGCTGGCAGGGGCTGACGTGCAGCTCCTTCAGGTTGCAATGGTGGCCCCTTGGGGGAGGGGAGAGGTGACAAGGGGCTGGGGGCGATGAGGCCTCCCCTCCCCCCCTCGCTCAAGCTCGCTGTTTACCTTCCCGGTACTTCTTGCGGAGCCGCCGGTGGACGCTCTTCACCACCCCGGACAGCTTCTCCTGCTCCAGCTTCCGCTCCTGCTCCCGAGGCGGCGGAGTGCTCGGGGGCCCAGCCCCATGCCTGCGAGCACTGCTTCGGCCGCCGGCCTCCGGCTCCATATCGCTGCCGCCGCCGCTGCCGCCGCCGCCCCTCGGGCCCCGCAGACGCCTGCCTGACGGAGGAGGTGGCAGCAGCGGAGGCAGCAGGCGGGGGAGGCAGAGGAGCCAAAGCGTCGGCCTCGGAGGTGGCCCCTTTCCCAAACGCTCAAGCTGATTGGCGGACTGTGGAGGGCTGGGCGGAAACGGAAAAGGCTAAAGGCCAATGGATGGAGAGCGCCGGCGGCGCACCCGGTTGTTTGGGACCGCGAGCAGCTGGAGGAGGCGGGGGAGCTGAGGCAGTGGGAGCGCTGGGCCCAAAAGCTCCTTTCTGCTCCCCACCCCTCTCCAGATTCTGTGCGCAGGCGCTGTGAACGACGCGCTTGCGCGTCTGAGTTTGCTTAGTAGGGGCTCGGTTCTACCCCCAGCCTTTTCGCGTCTTCCGGCTTTTCCATCCTCTGAGAATTATATTCTAACGCTAAGCGGTTAGGGTCTTCTACCTGTACCCCTGCTGTACTTTGTCACTTATAGGTTCTCTTTAGCTGCATAGCGCGGGGAAGCGCTTTTGAGATGACTCGACAGCCCAGGAATTTTACACTTCGAGGGACCCAAGCACAGATGCTTTCATTGGCGGGAGCGGTCTACCAAGTAGTGACTTAATTCACCGGCCACCAGTGCTTAATGCCTTTAGTGCCAGAGCTGGGCCAAGGACATAGGAAATGGGAAAAGGAGAGAGTCAAGAAAAGCGGTAGAAGGTAATAGTGGAGAGAAAAGGAAAGATGGAGAACCCTCAACACCTGCCCTCAAGAACTTTTGTGGTGGCCCAGGTGTCACAGGGAATGTACCCTGATTTAATTTGGATCAGAACTGAGTGCTTTTAAAGTTGGGCTTGGGTGTTCTGTCCTTTAACTTGGTGGGTTAGTCTACGTGAAGTGTGCCTGAGTGGGTTTGGCAACCTATACCATCACCAGCACCCCTCCTTGCCCTTCTCTTTGGAAATTCCTGAGGAGCATGGTTGTTGATTTCCCTGCTCCCCAGAGAGATGTCGGCTGTATTAGTTCTTGAAGTTCCTGCTCGAAAGGCTGAGAGCTCTTAAAGGATTGTATTAGGTTGTAGAGTACCACCGAACTGCAGTTGTTGGTTATATGTTTGTAAAATGTTGCAAATGCTTTCTAACCAATGATTTTATGAATATAAATAAAGCTTGCATTAAGTAACTTTTATTATGCCACCTTCTCAATAATGAAGACCCTGAAGAGCATAGCATTGTACACTCTCTAGAACACAGGAAGAACAGGAGGGGAGAAATGGAGATGATCGGTGGAATATAAAGATGGAAGATGTATTCCTATCTGTGCAGTAAACACACAGATCAAATACAGATAAACTTCAAAAGAACTAATTATAATGAAGTTACACACACATGTGTAATAAATTGAGGCTATCGTGGTCTTATTTGGGGGCTTTTCATTTGGGAAGAAAGAGACGTTTTAATGAGAGTTGTTTTGGCTCTTTCCATATTTTAATATATATGGGAGGTGAAAAGATGTGCAAATATTCGGAAGTTACAACCATTGTAAAGAGGCATTACATTTCATTTGTACTGAACTGTACTAAAAAAACAAATTCTCCCTGCTACTACATGCACATGAATTTTAAAGTCCTTCTTAAAAGTAGAGGTGTATACTGAAGGAAATTTGGAAAATAGAGATCAGAGAGAAGATCTTAAGTGTTCTCATCACAAAGAAGTGGTAGTTATGTGATGGGATAGAGGTGTTAGTTAACTTGATAGTGGTAATCATTTTACATTTTACAAAAGTATCAAGTTAAGATGTTGTGCACCTTATACTTACACAATGTTAGGTGTCAATTGTATCTCAGGAAAGCGGGGCGGGGAAAGGTAGAAGTCATCTGAAAACCTACCATTGGGAGATAGCAACTGTTAACATTTTTTTTCTTTGCTTGTCTATCTTTATGGATAGACATATGGGATATTTTTGATGGATGTAAGGTAATCTATTATATGAATAGCCTTTCACTTTAGTCACCAATTCCCAACATAGTGTATGTATGTTGTTTCCAGTTTTTTCGTGTTCCAAATAATGCTGTGATGAACACCCTTGTACAGAAATGTTTGTCTATTTAATTATACATTTCACTAGGCTAAATTTCTGAAAGTCAAGTTTTTTAATCAAAGGGTCAAATTTTTAATGAAAATGTTAAAGTTTTTATTTTAAAGATTTTATTTATTTATTTGACAGAGAGATAGAGAGAACAAGTAGGCAGAATGGCAGGCAGAGGAGAGAAAGAGGAAGAAGAAGGCTCTCCACCGAGCAGGGAGCCCAATGCACAGCTCAATGCCGGGACTCTGGGATCATGACCCAAGCCGAAGGCAGACCCTTAACTGACTGAGCCACCCAGGCACCCCTTTGTTAAAGTTTTTAATATATATTGTCAAATGTCTTGTTTGAAAGGTGGTGGCAGTTTTTGTCACCTCTAGCAGTATATATGAATGTCTATTTCACTGCACCCTCATCAAATATATGTGTTACAACTGACAAAATCATTAATGAGTTTTTTTAAAGGTCTTTGTCTTTAAGAGACACGTGGAACTTTTCACTGTTTTTTAACTAGCAATTCTGGCTGGTATAATATTAACACTGAATATTAATTTAAGAACAAATAAAAGGAACTTATTCAAGACTCTCTAGTTGTCATTTTTCAAGCAAATTAAAGAGCACAATAATTTAAAGATTTTATTTATTTGTTTGACAGAGATCACAAGTAGGCAGAGAGGCAGGCAGAGAGAGAAGGGGAAGCAGGCTCCCTGCTGAGCAGAGAGCTCCATGTGGGGCTCAATCCCAGGACCCTGAGACCATGACCTGAGCTGAAGGCAGAGGCTTTAACCCATTGAGCCACCCAGGCGCCCCAAGAGTACAATAATTTAAATGTGCCTTTTGGTTTCATACGTTCCTGAGAAGCAACTCAAGAAGGAAATTGAAAAGCTGGATTCTATTCTGAATTTGCATGAATTCAAATAGGGCAAAGGCCAATATAACCAATATTGACTTTTCTTAGGAGGACTATGGCAACTGGTCGGTCATAGACCACAGTTTAAAAGGAAATTTATAACCTTCCTCTGGTGTGATTAGTAGTATTAGAAAAAGCTTTCTATCTGTTAGAGTTGCAGAAGAATGGTAATGGGATTTTCCATTTAAGTAAAATATTTGTTCCAGTTGCTGCTAAGAGGGGTTCTCTGCGGGAAGTATGTTTGGCGCCAAGGTCAACAAGCTTATTCTATGTGCAGGAAAATATCGACACCTTTGCCTCCCATGTGATGACAGGATTTCATATACCATAAATATTGGAATTAAAAAAAAAATTCTCTCATTATTTTATTTATTTTGAGATTTTATTTACTTATTTGAGAGAGGGAGAGATAGAGAGAGAGTGGGGGGTAGCAGCAGAGGGAGAGGGAGAAGGAGAGGCAAGCTCCCCCTGAGCAGGGAGCCCGATGCAGGGCTCGATCCCAGAACCTTGGGATCATGACCTGAGCCAAAGGCAGATGCTTAAGCAACTGAGCCACCTAGGTACCCTTTCATTATTATTTTAAATGGCTGTTGGAAAAAGGGATATCAGAATACAACAGTATTCACTGAGCAGGATAAACCAGTCTGGGAGGAAGAGGCATTTTTTCAAATGACTGCACTAAACCCCTGATAACTTGGTTTCTCATCCTCATTCTTTAAAACAGCACAGATTACCTCTCTTTACAGAGTTAATATGCAGAATCGTGTTAAGACCAGCGTTAACTAGAACACATGAAAACCACTAGTTAGTGCCTAATGCAATGATAAAATTTACAACATTTTTGCAATATATTAATGGAATTCATTTAATTTTCAAACTGGACTAATATAGGAAGATATCTACATAGAAAATGGGAAGTATTCTTCCAGGTGATAGATGATGTTCTTATAATGGAGCAGAGGACTTAAGAGATTTTCTGCATCCTGATTTCAGCTTTTCATTAACCACCAGGACATTAATCACTTGATTTTTCTAGGTTTATTTTTTCTTCTTTATATGTTAAATGAAGAGGTTAGATTTCACTCATGTTCTTCAATATTCTTTTTTACCATGACACACAGTAAGAAACACATTTATTTTTTTTACAAGAAAAGGTGCTCAACATCATTAATCATCAGGAAAAAAATGAAAATATTACTAAAGAATATTAGGTGGCCCCACACTCCAGAAGGACTAAAGAGGCATATTTGGGGACTACACAGCTTGGATCAACATCTAAGTCAAACCCAGCAACTACTCTATCCAGCCAAACCCCACTGACTCTGTTTCTTGGCTTACAGGGCAAATATTGGACATTAAATGTTGGAACTTCAGTCACTGTAATACTAAAATACCCACGCCTCCACACTCTACCTTAACAAACCAAAAGATTCCCTGCAGCTTCTGCTTCATTGTTTTGCACTTCTCTGAATAGACAGTTCACTCCAGAGATTATAGTTAGCAGAGTCTAAGTCTCTTATCTAGGCTTGCATTCATGCCAGAGGAAATGTCCCAAATGTAAAAATGGTGTTCAAAAGGATCTGAGTAGCTGCCATATGGCAAGGTACATCTCACAAAGTGTTCAAAAACTTAAAGTGAGACACAGTTATAGTGGTTTGGAGGTTGAAAGAGATCTTTTAAATTGGTAATGTTTTCCAAATTTTAGGCCAATATTCAAGAGTGGACCATAAAAGCAATGTAGTGTGCTCCACAGTTTTAAAAACTAAAATGGAACTGAAAATACCACCACCTATTATTGCACTTAATGAAGGTAAGTATTGTCTGGTGGAACTTGTGTCCTAATTACATGTAAGTGTCTATATTTATATATGTATAGTATATGTTTAAGTGTCCTGAGCCCACAATGTAAAATGTAAAGATAAAAACGTAGATCAATGGAATAGAAGAGAAGCTCAGAAATAGACCCACGCTTGTATAGACAACTGATTTTTTTCACAAAGTTGCAAAGACACTTAGTAGAGAAAGTATAGTTTTTTTCAATAAATGATGCTGGAACAAGTGGACATTTATATGCAAAAAAAAAAAAAAAGGGAATTCAGCCCATGTCTCATGCCATATATGAAAATTAACTCAAAATGGAACACAGACCTAAATATAAAACCTAAAAGTTCTGGAGGAAAACCTTTTTGACCTTGTGTTAGGCATGTATCTTTTAGAGATGACATAAAGTATAACTCACAATAGAAAAAATAACTTGGATTTACAAAAATTAGACTTGCCTTTCTTCAAAAGACACTGCTAAGGGAATCAGAAGACAAGCCACTGAGTGGGAGAAAACATTTGAAATTATTACGTCTCATAAAAGGCTTATATATATAAATATATAAAGAACTCTCAAAACTGAATGATAAGAAAACAGATAACT